TGTGTGCCTTTATTTGGCCAAGAAGCGTAAGACCATTGCTCCAAATGCTAAAGCAATTTACACGTAACAAAGAAAAAATGACTGAAATTTGAAGAAAACTGAATTTTTTGTGTTTTACAGCGCTTCATTATTTTTGTACTTTTTACACCAAAAATTTCATTGCCCGCCTGACTATGATTAAGTTATTTAAACAAATGTGTTCCAATGGTAGAAAAAATGTTTGTGTGTCTGAAAACTGTAGGTACTGTGTGTGTGTGTCTATTTTTTTAAAGGGGTAATTTATTTAAAAAAAGGTTGAGAAACACTGATCTAGGCTGACCTCCCACACATTGCAGGCCACAGAACTCTCACACACTTGAAACAGACCCCTAACTTCGGGCTGAGTTATTCAAATCCTCCAATCATGATTTAAAAACTTCAGGTTACAGCGAATTTACCATTTATTCTAGTTTAAACCTGTAAATACCCCTATGCTGAAGAACTGCCCCCGGCAGGGTCTCTGCCAATCTGACCTGGGGGGAAAATTTCTTCCTGACCCTAAATATGGCAAGCTGTTAGATCCTGAGCATGTGGTTGAGACCCAGCAGGCAAAGACCTGAGAGAGAATTCCCTGTAGTTTTTAAATCAGAGCTCTGCCCACGTAGTGTCCCATCTGCAGCAGTTGGGTATTCTTTGCTATTGGCAGTTGCCAGTGGACCATGTGTGTGTTTGTAAGCTTCCCCTTCATACAATCCCTTCCATAAACTTACCAAGATCAAGCTTCAAGCTAGCAAGGTTCTCCTCTTTCCTCCTACCCCCGCCCCCTGCTGCTCTTCTTGGCAGGCTATTCCTGAACTCCACTCCTCTGGCAGTGAGAAACCTTTGCCCAATTTCAAGCCTAAATGTGGATAGCCAGTTTACAGATTGTTGTTCATGTTTCCACATTGGAGCTCAACATAAATAACACCTCTCCCTCCATTGTATTTATTCCGCTGATGTATTTGCAGAGAGCCATTCTCTCTCCCCTCAGCCTTCCTTTGGTTTGACTAACCAAACCAAACTCTTTGAGCTGTCTTTCTTGTTTGATCCTAGTAACCCTCTGCACCTTTCATCTTTTTTAAACATGGGAGACCAAAATTGCACACCGTATTCCCCATGATGTCTCACCAGTGCCTTGTATGATGGTACTAACACTTTCCTGTCTCAGCTGGAAAGATCTCACCTGACACATCCCAGGTCTGCATTAGCCTTTTCCATAGCCACATCACATCGATGGCTTAGTCATCCTGTGGGCCCAAGTTTCCTCCTCTTCTGTGACTTCCGACTGATGCGTCACAAAAAATTCTTGATAGTCCCTAGACCCATATCGTCCTACCAGTAGCAAACTAGCCACACGCAACCACCCAAATAGCAACATTGTTCAAGCCAACTAGCAACACTCAACCGGCCAATAATGGCTAGCATGTTGAACACCACGGCCCTATATGCATTTATTTAGGCATAAGTTTTTATGGGCAAAGAACCACTCCTTCAGATGCTTATGCCCAAATAAATCTGTTAAGGCTGCGTCTAGACTGGCATGATTTTCCGGAAATGCTTTTAACGGAAAAGTTAAACGGCCATTTTCACAATCAGGGCTTTTTTGCGCAAAACAAATCTCAGCTGTCTACACTGGCCCTATTGCGCAAAAGTTTTGCGCAAAAGGGACTTTTGCCCGAACGGGAGCAACATAGTATTTCCGCAAAAAGCACTGATTTCTTACAGTAGGAAATTCAAGTACTTTTGCGGAAATTCAAGCAGCCAGTGTGGACAGCTGGCAAGTTTTTCTGGAAAAGCATCTGATTTTCCGGAAAAACTGGCCAGTCTAGACACAGCCAAGGGGTGTATTTAGACTACAGGGTTTTGTTTTTTTTAAACTTCCCCTGCGTCTAGACTGCTGCCATGTTCTTTTCAAAGTAAATTGAAAGAAAGTGGCAGTTTCTTTGACTGTGGAAAACCTCATTTTACGAGGAATAACGCCTTTTTTTGAAAGTGCTTTTTCGAAAAAAGGCGCTATGTAATGCAAACTGTGCTTTTTCAAAAGAGAGCGTCTAGGCTCTCTTTTGAAAAAGCGGCTTGCTTTTTCAAAAGTACTGGTTGTAGTCTAGATGCTTTTTTTCGCAAGAGGCTTTTTCAAAAGTATCTTTCGAAAAAGGCTTGCAGTCTAGAATTAGCCAAGATATGGTGTAACTCCTGCTGTTGTTGATTGGAGTAGGAGTTGAAGAAGTTCAACTCTTAGATATTCATGAAAATGAACCTTTTGAGTTTTACCCATAATAATGTTTTGGCTCCAAGGGGCACTAAATATATAGGGAAGGGGGTGCATTCAGAGCCATGTAATGAAAAAGCTATTTTTCTTGAGAACAGTCTCTTTTAGAGACAGGATAAGAGAATGTTTACTCCATCTCCTCTTTTTGCCTTCTGGCCTTTCATCTTGGGAAGAGCTTTAGTAAAGGAGTGCTATAAATAGGAATTTTGGTGATCTGGAGCAAAAAGTGAAAAACACCAAAGCCCTAAAAAATGTTTACTACCCTATCTTTGAAAGTCATATGATGCAGTGTCTTTGGGAAAACAAAATATCCCTCCTTCTTCCATCCATTTTATGCAACAGAGATTACTCAAGCACATCTCAGGGCAACCTCAAAGGGAGGGCCAAGATATGTGTATTTAAATAACACGAGTCCTTATGGCTACAGAGTTACTACAGTTACTGATACTCTGCATGTTTGCATATGCTGCGTGAGTTTAATCATATTCTGTACAAATACTGCCAATTAATAGGGACCCGTCTTGTTGGCTAGTTGCAACAAGTACAATGTTTGATTTAAGTTTAGGAATGCAACCTTACTCCCTGATGCTTGTTCTCACAGGATTACAACCATTTGCTATTATGATTTAAAATTGCTTACGAACCATGGGCTAAAGCAATACAGAAGAACATCCATACTGGGTCAGACCAAAGGTTCATCTAGCCTAAAATCCTGTTTTGTGACAGTGGCTAGTGCCAAGTGCCCCAGAGGAAATGAACAGAACAGGATATAATCAGGTGATCCATTCTCTGTTGATCATTCCCAGTTGACCATCCCTGCCCAACCTGGTTAATTGCCATTGATCGACTTATCCTCCAAGAATTTATCTAGTTATTTTTTAATCCTCTTCTAGTCTTGGCCTTCACAATATCCTTTGGCAAAGAGTTCCACAGGTTGACACTGCACTGTGTGAAGAAATTCATCCTTTTATGTGTTTTAAATCTGCTGCCTATTAATTTCATGACCCCCTAGCTCTTGTGTTATGCACAGAACTGCACAGTGGCACAATGGGGCCATTTAATCTGGCCTTTAAAGGCTCTGGCACGCAAAATGTTAAATAACAGGAGAGTTGGTAGAACAAAAGTAGGGTAAAGTTGATATTGATTAGAGTTGGTGGTGAATTGTGTATTTTTGACACGTTTTGTTTTATTCTGCAACAGAACAGAACCTTTCCAATATTTTATGCAATAAAAAGCAAAAGGTTTATGCTCATACAGCAAATCATCTAGTGGTCAGGCCACTCACCTGGGATGCAAGAGAATCAGGTGACTATCCTAACTGAAGGTTTTGAGGAGTTCTCTCTCTCTCTTTCTCTCCCCTCACTAACAAAAGTTGAGGTTCTGAAAAACCTTCCCAACAGAAGTTTAATTGAAACAGATATACTTCTGCAAAACAGCTTCAGATTTGACCAATCAGTATTTTTCGCCTACGTTGACAATAGAGCAGGGGGGGACTAGTTTGAGAGTGCTACTCCACCAGCAACCACCTACCCATGGTGACCATTCTAGGATGGAACAGACAACCCATAGAACCAGCTTGCACTAGCAGTGAATGCAAAGTAACCACACTGTATGGGGGAAGCTAAATCTCTGTTTCTACTCTAGATAGAACTAGAATCAAAATAAAAATATCTGCAATCTGCTATTCCTTCCTGATGATCAGAGAACAAAAATGGGGGGAACATTTTCACAACTCTTCATTTCTGATTTACATCAACATTTTCCAATCAGATGGAACGAACACCCCTGGTAGCTTATACACTGAACCTGCAATTACAGTAAACAGCCATGAGGCACTGTGGAAAGGAGTGATGCCATTCAATGTGTCAGTCAAGCAGGACTGCAACACTCAGTTGCTCCTAGAAGTTTTTTTCCCAGACTGTACTTTCAGGAATGTCATTAATGCTGTGGTTGGTGCATTTAATTGGTATTTGGAAAGACAGAAGGATAATGTTACCTGCTTTGCTTTGGCTTTCAGCTGCAGGAAAGACAGAATTTCTTTTCTTTTTCCAGAGCCAAGATCGTGGTGCCAATGGGATATTTTCTTCAGAAGCAAGATACTGTGCTAGATGGAAAAAGAAAATGTCAAATTTCTGGAGAAATCATTTTTTATTTCAAGTTGACTGGGTTAGTTAATGTGCAAAGGAAAAGAATGGAGAGAGAGAGAGAGAGAGGTCAGAGGTATAACAGGTAATATAAAAAAGACCACATAGGTACTCCTTTTTTTTTTTTACAATATGGCATAATAAAAAAGCAATGGAGATTCTACTCCTTGTGTGTGTGTGTGTGTGTGTGTGTGTATATATATCTATATAGATATATAGATATAAAAGGCTCTTTTAAATCTTTTTTATACAACTTATAATTATACTATGTAATTCACTAACAGAGACAGAGAAATAATCTGAGGAAAGAATGGGGAAAGAGGAACTCTTGAGTTTTAAGTACAATTTGACGTTGCCATCCTCTGCTGTCTTGCTCAAGTCTCTTTTGTTCTCTGCCTTAAATTCTAATCATGTAACCTAGGATAATCTTTAATTAACAATAATGGTGATTTGTTAAAATCTTTAAAATGCCTTACAGATGAAAATCACTCAGTGATCATGAACAAGTCACCTGTTAACACCATGGTATGCTATCAATGTTAGGTAACTCTTAGTAATTGCTGATATTTTAATACCCTTTACAAATGCTGTATATTGTTACTTACACTTCACAGAAATTTGAGGCAAACAGATAAAAGAATAAGGGTCAAATCCCTGTCAGGTGCATGACCCAATTAGGTAGAGAAGAGAATGTGGCCTAAAGCCTACTGATACTCCCCGGGCTGTTTCATCCCCCTGTGTGAATTAGACCAATCTATACGGTACTGTAAACTGTCAGCTGTTACACAGCCAGGGATGGCTGAAACTCAAGGTGCTCTGCCTTCCTACACTGACACGAGCCCGACATTAGAAGAAAGAATTGTGAGTGGCAGGGGTAGGGGTAGGGTGTTACTTCATTCAGTACCTTTTACTTGATTCTGTATGTAGGCTAGTGATGCACAGAACTACATTTTCACATGAAAAGAAATACTAGAGATCAGGGCCGGATTAAGGGGGGAGACTACCCGGACAACTGCCCGGGGCACCAACCTATGGGGGGCACCTGATTGAAGTGGTAAGGGGCGCTGCATCAGGCGCCCCCCATAGGTTGCCGTCCTGGGGCACGGCGCCCCATACACGTCAGTCAGGTTCCATGCGCCTGGGGTGGGGTCGCATGTGTGCCTCATGCCCACTGCCCAGGGCGCAAGAATGACTTGGGCCAGCCCTGCTAGAGATGACAAACTGATCAGTTTCACTTCTTCTACCAACTCTGTGGGTATTTCATGAGCAGGCCAAAGAAGGGTCAGGCAAACAACTCATTACATTTCTTGTTGGCATTATGTGACACCTACCATCATTATGAGGCAATCTATAATAAAATGAGACTTCATTAAACTGTTGTCATGTGTCAGTGCCAAAAGTACACACAATGACTTTTAGCACAGATATAAGCCTCTCAAACTTAGCCAGTCTCCTTATCTGTCAAATATTTAGCAGATTAGGAATTTGCTGAAAGCAGGACATTTGAGTCTTCAATGGGGAGAACAATTTAGGCAGGTCTGAATTAAGACAACACTGAGTCCTAGCCACACCCCAACATCTGGGTCTTTGAAAGCCTTCCTCATTATTTGCTGCCAAAGATTTTAAAAATGTTCAACTGAACTGGTAGAACACACTGGCTAACTGCCTGGAAAATTAATTGAAGAGCTAAGCCAGTTTTTGACAGCTGTAGCCTCTTTTTCAAGGGAAGAAAGAATATTTTATTTTATTCAGCTAGTTCTGTTTAATGATTTGGTCATTCAACATTGAAAAACTAGGAGGAGTAGAAAAAGCAGAAATGATTGGAAAAGAAAACAATCTATGAATTAAAAATTAGGTGTGAGAGGAAGAGTTCTAAAATCTTGAGGGACGTGGTGGCCACAAATAAGTAGAATTTACTAACTACAAATATCTTCTTTGTTTAATATAACATTAAGGATTTTTAATACACAATGTTTTGATAAACTTTTGATAAACTTGCTTCTTATGTATCTGGCACATTTATATTTAATAAGAATAAAATGCTGGTTTTAAGCATTTTAACTGAACTGAAATTTCCATCCAAATAGAGCTTGATTTAACCCACAAGTAAAAAAACCAAAAAACAGCTAGTAAATAAGAAATGATTATTCACCCTTTTCTAACACAACAAAAACTTAAAATTAAGAATCTGAATAAATGTATTTTAAACTACTTAATTGTTTCAATAAATGTACACAGGTAGAGTGTATTTTCTTGGAAAGCAAAAAGAAGTACCAATGTCAGGGTAAAAGTTGTATTTAGTGGTGATTTTATATATTGTAATGGTTCCCAATCAATTAAAATCAACTTTTCTTTAGGAAAATAATTTAGGTACAAATGCCAAACATGATTCAAAGCTTTGTGTTTGGTGATTTTAAATAGTGATTAAAATTGGTAATTTAAATCACTTTGATATCAGTCAATCCAGCCGGACTTGCTTGCATTATCACAATTTGATTTTTCACAGCTTTTTTTCTGGAATGAATATTAATATATGAGAAGATCTTTGAACACAGATGTCACAATCTTCTGTCACATATCCTTTCCCCATCATTTTCTTTCGGTTCGGTCAAGCCACATTTCTTCATTGACAGATTCTGAATTCCTCAGCCTTGCCTAACAGCCTTGCTCAACTACATTGCCTAACAGAGTTGGCTAACAATGTTGCTAACCTTATTCATCTTAATGGATCCTAGTCCCCGTGCTTTGCCTTTTTTTTTTTTTTAAGACAAGTATGTTCTTAGTCCTGGGATGCTGAAACTCATTCAAATTGCATTATCTCCCTAACTTCCCTCAAATTGAGAGATATTCAAAGATAGCTAAAACATCAATCAAAACTCTAATATTAGCAATTAATATTACTGGGCATTACCTTCTCCTACTTATTTCACAGCTACATTAGTTGGCATTCAGATATACCTAGTACATGGCTACAGGGAACCAAATTAAAATTATACATATTTCTGTTAAAAACAGCACAGCCAACCTAGCAGTGATGGAAAATACAGCCACAACATTTCTGGGGAATTATATGTAGTAGTGTAATGTTATTTGGGGAATAAAAAAATGACTCTCTTAGTATTATAACAATACTTCACATTTATATAGTACTTTAGATATTCAAAGCACTCTACAGGCATTGAGTTCTTACTCCTCACAATCCTGTAAGACAGGTGAGCAAATACGATCAATTCTAACCTCATGCCTGTCTTATTTAGATGCAGCTGTCTGAGAGTTCGAGTGAAATAACGCTTTATGACCCTGATTGCAACATATCCTGTGCACCAACTTCTGCAATCTTTGACATATTTAGTGATACAGAGACTTCTAAGCACATTGCTTGCTAAAGGATATTATCTATGCTCTTTTAAAATGGTTTATTTATAGAAGTGGGGAGCTTGTGGAGGCTAGGTTGTTACGGTGTATTTACAAACTGTTCTGTCTTGTAGGATGGAGAAGATTGTTCCCCCTCCCCACATCAGCCCTCAGAGCTGGTCTGAGTCACCATGAAGGAGTGGCATCGTGCTTCCTCCTCCTTTCTGTTCTGGAGCCTGCTCCCTGGAGTGAAGCAGGCGTGAACAGAGCTGGAATTGTTAAAGGCTGTGGTGCAGCCAGACAAGGGAAGGGGAAAACTTCTTCCTTGTTCCTATGTACCTGCATCCAATATGGGAGTGCTGAGGGCAGAAGCAAAAAGGTTCCTTGTTTGTATGAATGTAATTCTTCTGTTTGGGAAGCATCGCTATGCACAGCCCCATGGCCCAAACTGTACGACAGTAGAGAACCTCGTGTGCTGGGTGTTCAAATTGAAACACCTGAAGTTCAGGTCTTCAGAAAGTGCTGAACACCTATATTGAAAAATAAGGCCCCTTTAAGGTCTCAAGATAGTCTTCCAATACCAGAAGCACCCCAAATCACTAGTTGCCTTTGAAGATCTGGTCTGGGACCTTTTATTTTTAAATGTTCATGTGCCACAGAGCAAATTTTATTTTAAAAAAGTATATTTATGAGTAGAACAAGACCAAAGTTATGTAAAGAGCTTTCAGTTCACTGGAAAACCCAAAAATATTTTTCACAGTTATCAGAAATGAATACTTTTCTAAGTTGAACCAAAAACTTTAAAAAAATTGCTTCGAGTTCAAAGATATGTCTCATTCAACTTGAAACAATGCTTTATTTGCTTCTTTCTTTTTTATACTTTCAAAATGTTTAAAATTAAATAGAAGTTAATTTCAAACCTGAACACTGTTCTCAATTTTTTTTAAAAAACCCCAAAACATTTCATTTCTAAAATGTCAAAATAAAAATTTCCAAGAATATCTTTTTGGATCAAAACCAAATTCATCTAGACAAGATTCTTGTTTTTAACCTAATATTTCCCCTGCATTTTGAAGTTAACATTTTACATTTTTGTGCTATACATGATCCATGTGTTTATATGCTTTATATGGAATGTTTACATGACAAGTTATAGCTAGCTGAAGAGAAACCTAGTAAATAACATTTACTAAAATCAATAGTACAGTTTTACTGCTCCTGCTTCATATTCTCCTCCCGATGTCAGACTGCTCTGAAAACAAAATAACTTGTTACTAGCATCATAATCATATACAAAATAAGTATGCAGATGGAATATAAGAACTAGTGAACATATCTTTAGCTGTCATGCAAATATCCCTAATAATAAAATGTATGGGAGGGAACAAACATGGGAATGCATGATATATAAGCCGAATTGTCTGTAAACAGAATGTGCTTCTGAAGATTTTGATGGGACATTAAATGATACCTTGTGTAAGTTTCCCAAACCCTGCCCCTAACAGCTAGGTTTCTTTTCTTTTTCTTTTCTTCCTCCAAAACAGACTTGCTCCAGCTCCATTGCACTACATCTTGTTTCTCCACAGCCACAGAAATAGGAGACTGAAAAATAAATGGGCCTAATTCTCCTCTTGCTTATACTTTGTGTAAATTAGGAGTAACTACTCTGCTGTTATTGAGATCAGAATCAGGTCCAACTTTATTTTTCTTTTCTTATTCCTGCTTACTTTTTAGTAGTTTCCTGTGTTTTTTCTTTTACTTCGCATAATCTTATTTGTTCCATTACTTTGTCAAATAGATTGGTTTATAAGTTCACTCACAAACAGGTTTATTTTATTAATGTGTTTACATAGTTCTGTTTTGATAGACCCTTTTAAGGTATGTCTACTTGTAAATTTAAATGAAGCGGCGATTATTTAAATCGCCGCTTCATTTTCCTATGCCTGGTAGCCTAATCTACATGCCTCTGGCGACAGGCTTTTGTCAACAGAGGCTTTGATGACAAAGAGCGTCTAGACTGCATCCAGTTCTGTTGACAAAGCAAGCCGCTTTGTCGACATGAGAGTGTAGATGGAAAGGACAGTGTACATGCAATACCGCCGTTGACTGAACTCGGTGGTAGTGTAGATGCAGGTATAGTTTTGTCGACAAAAGTCCACTTTTGTCAACAAAACCCTATAGTCTAGACACACCCTCAGTGTATGGCAAGCCAGAGTGTAAATAAATCTGAAGCACACTAACATGCCACATGCTAACTTATGGTAAGACTCTTGCTACTATAGTGCATACTGCTGCAGAGGTCAAATCCCACTATGAAAGTTTTAGTATGAAGTATCAGCGACCATTCAATGACTTTGTGTCACATCTTATCTTGCTGCACATGAATTTCCTAGGTAGACAAACCTTTACTTTAAATGTACAGGCCAAATTAATTCCTAATGTGTCTGTTTCAGTCAGTGGAGTTAAACCAAGTATGCCTGTACTCCATTGAGTTTAATTTGTTTGTTTTGAAAGTCTATGAGATGCATAAAACCTTGTAACTAGTTGCCCTAAAGCCTCAGGTTGATAGGTGTGAACTTACCCTTTAATTAATATAATTGTAAACATAAGTCTTGCCTAAGACAAAAGGTATGAACCCACTCAGAGCTTTTTGGATGAGTATTATTAGGGTGTGTGTGTTTCGGGGGGGCCAAAGGTGCTGCAGAACACACACAGGCTAAGGTCACAGACAAGAACAGGGAGAGGCAGAGGAAAAGAGGAAAGCAAGTCAAGTTGGAGCTTGTAAGTGCAATATGACTATGTAAAAAGCTAGAAAGCTTTTGAGGCTGGTGTTGGCTGAAAAAGCTTGACGCACTAAGCAAAGACACTACTCCTTTTGTTCTTTTTTCCTATTCAGGAACACAGGGCTTTGTAAATTCTCTGTAAATAAACAAAACTGCATCAAACCCCCCAATATCACCAATTAATACTTTCAATTGGAACATCCCCCAAAGCCTCAAACTTTGACTAGTTGCTAGGTTCAAAATAGGCAACATTATTACCTCTTTTTTGGTAGTGCTGGCTTTAAAAAAGTACATTAACAGATTATTTTCTTATGTATGAAATTGTTGTCTTACACATTTTGTAAGTAAAATATTAAAGTTACCTGGGGTTTTATAACTGAAACGTAAGCATATTTACCCTAATTTCCTAATCTCTCTTTTTGTATATATTAACAATTTCCAATTGTTAAACCACACTTCAAATACAGCAGGCTTTTCTCATAGTGTAACACTAGGTGTTGATTATTGCATAGACTGAAGAAGGAAGATGCCCACTATATACAGTTAGCTTTAAGAAAGTTATAACCTATTTGCAAATCAAGTCGTGGTTTTATAATATCACATTTGAAATAGTCGTGAGCTCCAGCTCTGACTTTCTGATCTTCTTACTAGCTCAAGCCTTCTGAAAATAACATACAACCTCTCCTCTTCCAAAAGTAAAACTGTGAGCCAGCAGGACAGTTATTGAAGTTTTAACTGAGATATTCTTACTCTAGCAAGATTATTAGGTGTATTGGTTCTTTCACATCTCCATTAATGGAAATATTCATCAGTCCATATTTTTTTTTGCCTCGCTGACAACTTAGCTCTTTCTGTACATTCCTTAAATAGCTATGAAACCTTATTTTTACTGAAGTTCTTTTGCAGTTGTATAGCCTAAGAGGCAGAGGTCAGGTAGCCAGTAATTTTCAAGCTCTGAACTCAGCTTCCAGGTGCAAGTAATCAAATATATTACCTAAATTTTGCCTGGCACACCCCTCGTTTTCCCAGGAAATGGTGTACTGCCTACTGAGCAAACATTTTACCTCTTTTCATTAGAGAATACTTTAAAGCAAATTTACCTTCGTCCATGGTAAACAATCTGCAGATCAGAGACTGGCTCCACACAGGTAAAAATTAAGCTTACTATGTCCTGTATTAGACACCTATTGATCTCAAGAAATGCAGGAGCCTTGCAAGGGAACAGGATACTTTGCCAGTGGAAGGTCAGAAGTACTTTTCATGTGGATCAGGTTTCTTGTTCTGCATGACTTGTTAGTCATGCCATTAAGTAAATTAGTTCTGATGGTTTGTCCTACATTTACATGTGTAGCTACTTACACTGAAGGCTACAAATGTCTGCTTTTTTGGGGGGAGGGGAAGGTTAGTTTATGATCAAATATAACTCAAATCTGTTGTGCCACAGAGCTGGCTAAAATTCAAGAATACACAAGCTCACATGATATTTTTTTAAAAGCATAAATGTCCACAGTAAGGCCTAGCGTGGGGCACTTGCCCAGAGTGTTGTAACTGGGGCAGCATAGAACACCATGGCCCTGAGGGAGCAGCTACAGAGATGGAGGGAATGTTGACACTACCAAGTTTTGTGGAGGGCGTCAACACACAGAAAATGACAACGATAAAGTCACCAGTGTGTGTTCACATTTGCCAGCCTGTTGACAAATCGTGTTCTCACTGGGAGCTTCCCTGTTGACAGTGGGAACAATGCACTGGGCCTATGTACCCCACAGTGCCTGGTGACACTATCTCTCACTAGGTGTCGCAGAACTGTGGACTAAAGCATGGGACATCTTGGGGCCCTGCAATATATTCCGTCAGGCACCACTTTGTTCAGGGTCTTCTGGAGTCCATTTGTGCCTTTTCCAACTGTCATTCTTTGCTCTGCACTTTGGCATCTGCAGTGAGAGAGAAATTATCCTGCTGTTCTCCCACATGCTATTAGCTGTCATGAGAACCTTGCTGAGGGCAGCTGATATCATCTTGAAATCACTGACAGAGGAGGAGGACTTGGAGGAGCCTGACCGTGTCTGTGATATGGATAACAGCAACCTGTGATGGTATTTATCAGTCACAGAGCAGCTGCACAAGCCAGAGTGGCACTTTTGGACTACAACAAGCAGCACTGATTGGTGGGATTGAATCCTCATGCAGGTGTGGGATGAAGACCACTGGGTACAGAACTTTAGGATGCAAAAAAGCACCACAGATCAGAGGCCAGCAAGGCTTCAAGGACAACAGAATGCTGCCCCCTCAGTTGAGAAGCATGTGGCAATTGCTGTGTGGACGCTGGCAACTCTCGATTGCTACCGGTCCGTTGCAAATCAGTTTAGAGTGGGAAGTCTACTGTTGGAGATGTACTCCTGAAAGCATACAGAGCAATCAATCACATTCTACTACAGAGGGAAGCGATCATCCAGGGGTTCGGCGTCCTCAGCTTCCCCAAATACGGGGGGGGGGGGGGGCAATAGATGGCACATACATTCCGATTTTAGGGCCAGTCCACTTTGCCTCTGAGGATATCAACAGGAAGGAATACTTCTTGATGGTGCTGCAGGTGTTTAGGGACTACTATGGGTACTTCACAGACATCGTGGTGTGGTCTGAAAAGGTGCTTGACACAGGCATCTTCAGGAACACTGACCTGCAGGTGGGGAATTTCTTTCCAGACCACAAGATTATAGTGGTGGATATGGAAATGTCCAATGTGAACCTGGGATACCTGGCTTACCTCTTGCAGCCCTGGAAGCAGGACATCAGTAAGGAACATTTAAAGAATAAGCTGAGCAGGTTTTGCATGGTGGTTGAATTAACCTTTCGGAGACTAAAGGTGAGATGGGGGTGTGTCTGTGGCAGACTAGACCTCGCTGAGGATAATATTTCCATGGACCACAGTTATCATCAGGTGTTGCACTTGGCATGGCTTGTGTGAAAGTAAGAGAGAATTATTTGCTCAGAGGTGGAACACTGAAACTCAGTGATTAGCTGCAGAATTTGACCAGATTGTCAGTTCTAGTGCCTGAGGAACTCAAAGGGCTGCTGTTAGCATCAGGGATGCTTTGAGGGTGCACTTTGAAAATGAGGGGCACCGAAATAAACCTCTATTACAATTGCTTACAAGCCACATCCCTCCACCCCCGTCCAGTGCAACACATAGCTGGGAACATGCATTTTAAGCCTGCTCCTGTGGATTGCAGTGACTGGTCTGTGGGATTGTTAAATGATAAATAAAAGAATAGAATTGTGATAGAAGTATGCTTTTAATCAGCAGAAAATAGTGCATGCTCAACCACTGGTAAGGGAGGTGCTGGCAAAGGACTACACCTCACAAATGTGTGTAGGTACAGGTATTATAATCAAAGTTGGGAGGGGGGTGGCGTTAACGGGAGAACGAGGGCTTCCAAAGTAGGAAGACATGGAAGAGGGGTTGCTGGACACAGAATTTTGAATCTATTGTGTGGGCGAGGGGGGATAAACCTATGTTGGATCACTCGGCTGCTTTACTAAAAACTTGAAGATCATTGTTCCTCCATCACCACGATCATGTGTGCTGTGGCCAGTTTGTCCTTGCAGCTCTATAGCTCCCTTTCCAAGCACTCACTCGCTGATTAATTTGCTCTTCACAAACCATATCCTCCCTCTTTCCTTTAGGGTGCTTCCTTATCTGTTGCCACATCTCTTCTGTAATCCATGGTGGGACCATTAAGGTCTCTGCTATTCAGCAGAATGTACAAAATGGAGTCTGTTAACATTGAGTCCAGCATTGTAATATTTCACATACAAATCTTTTTTCCATCATTTCCATTCGCTTTTCCATTGGCCCTTACAAGGAACACATCTCAGCAAGCACCGCATCATGGTGAGCAATGAGGTGGGGGTGGCTAGCGGCTGTGCATATACACAAAAGAAATTCCAGCCAGGGCTAGAAAATACCCTTTGCATAGTTCTAGTTATGACACTTCTGCACAGGCGTGTATCACCCTGGCAGACATCTCTTTGCTGAGGGGAAGCAAGAAAACCAGGGCACAACTCCGGTAGGCTCATGGCTTTTGCTCGGCTTCATATGCAGCCCACTTACATTCCACTTTGGTTCCCACACAAGTGGATGCTGAATGGTACAAGATAGTGTCTTGTGGGAAGGGGACAAAGCAACACTGCCATGCAATCTTCAGTAGAAAATTAACAAGCACATCTCCGAAACATCCTGCTTGGCCACATTGATTAGCTACACAGATAAGTGCCACTCATAGAACACAGCCAGCCTCCCACTTTCCTTAGTCCGCTGCCTTCCACTCCAGCCACTTACCTGCGCTTCCTCCCCTTCTTTCTGCTCCCTGGAAAATGCTTGCTCAGTCTGGCTATGTCCTTCAGCAGTGGAGACCAGTTTCTGGCTGCCAAACCCACTTGGTGACCTCATGGGGACCCTTTGGTCCTCATTTACCTCTTCCTTTCTTTAACTATGTCATCCTCTGGGTTAGGTCATCTAGGTACTGCCTCCGTGCCCTCTGAAATATCCACGAGCTCTTGTTGTTGGAGGTAAGTTCACCACTGAGGGCAGCATCTAGCTCCTTATAGAAACAATAGGTCTTTGATGATGCACTGGAGAGTCAGTCAACTCACCGGCCTTATGACAGGCTTGTCTGAGTTCTTTAATTTTCACTCTGCACTGCCGTGTGTCCCACTTGTACCCCTTTTCACACAAGGCACTAGAAATGTGTCTGCATGAGTCCCAGTTCCCACTGGTCACCTGAGCTGGGTCTGAACAGACTTCTCTCTCGATACACTGATCGGATCCAACAACTCCACAGCAGTCCATGCAGAGGACCATTTGGTGTGATGGCCAGGTATGGGCACCTGGGAAGACACCATAAGACCATGGCACACTAGGCCAGCTGGTGGGAGGAGAGGTTCATGTGCTCAGGCTGCATAGGGCACTATGATTTCTAAGGTTGGCCCTCTATGTTAAACTTTATCTACCCTGCACGTTTTTTTGACAATAAAGGGAGATAAGGAAGAAAAGCCTCACATGGAGCTGGAAGCTTTTTTTTGTCAAAGAAAATGGCTGGTTTTCCTCACAAAAGTCACATGGCAGTGTGAACGCTCAGGGTATGTCTACACAGCAAAGTTATTTCGAAATAACAGCCCTTATTTTGAAATAACTTTCCTAGCGTCTACACAGCCAAACTGCTATTTCGAAATAGCGGAGCGCTTATTTTGAATTTGGTAAACCTCATTCTACAAGGAAGAACACCAAATTTGAAATAGCTATTTCGAAATAAGTGCTGTGTAGACACTTATTTTGAAATAGGGGGCCTCCAGCCTTCCCAGAGTTCCCTGGTGGCCACTCCATCTTCAACCAAGAACACTTCTCTCCCTCCCTCCTTCCCCGGAACCCTTAAAGGTTTAAATTCTGGTCACACTGTGCCTGTGCCAGCTTCAAGCCTGCCAGCCCAGAGCCGGCAGTCACTGTCCCTGACCCAGTGGCCCCAAAACATAAGCCAGCAAGCCACTGGCAGCCAGCCTTCTACTGCTCCCCAGGAGCAGTCTGCCAGCTCCCAGGAGCCTGCCAGGGCCCAGAGAAGGTGGGTGGAAATCTTGGACCTCATTCAGGTTTGGGGGGGGGGATGCCCACAATGTCCATGATCTCCACACTAGATGGGGGGAATGCGGCCATCTATGGCAGGATAGCTGCCAGCCTGGCCACCAAAGGCTACATGCGAACCCAGGAGCAGGTTTGCATGACAATCAAGTTGGTTCGGCGAGGCCCTGAGCTTCCCCTCTCCCTTCTTCCCTTTGCTTCCCCCTTCCAGCTCCCTCCTCCCATGTTTTCCCCTCCCCTCTCCCACTTTCTCTTTTCCCCTCTCCCGCCTCCTTTCCCCAGTCTCACCAAAGTTTCATTCCCCCCTGTGACAAGTTCCCGTGAGCCTCTCCGGGCCAGCCCTGACTCAATCCATCAGGCGCATGCCCCGAGGTCTCTTCTTTACACGAAAAAAAACAAAAAATGTCTGTCTCACCCCAGAGGAGCATTGTAGACGGGTCTCTGGAGCCTATTACGCACTGGGACCACCTCCGCCAACTGCGTCTTGGAGGGGGAGCGCAGAAATAATGCCCAGGGTGGGGAAAAGGAGGCTTGGGCCCATCCTCACTCCGAGCCCCGACCCAGGGCCCTAAGGCAGGCAATGCTGTCTCTGCTCAGCGGA